GATGAGTCCTTTCAAGAGTTTTGTGTAAGTGTCCTGCAAACCATTCACACCGGAGCGGTACATTTAGAAGGCGCTAGACACCAACACAAGGACACCTGATGCAAAGCCTGTGATTATTCCCGCGGGTGGTACCGCCTGAGCAGTGCAGTGGGATTTTCTAATAATGTTTTCAAATATTTGTATTCCATGTGGATCGTATGATTCACAAGCTGGATTATCATCAGTGCTCTGTGTTGCATTCCTGGCACATGAGGACCACGGACTGAAATGCGCTGTCTTCCTAACTGAAGTTGGCCGCTCGCTCCAGTGCGGACGCATCTGCTCTGCAGACCTTTGTTTGTAATGTTGCATGTTTGTCTTTCTTTCTCTTAGCACTAACACACTATATCTAAGTGAAGTATAACTTTGGGAAAACATTGCACACGACGAGTTTGCTTTAAAGAATCTAAAAATTATGAAATGCCATTTTCACAATAACCTAAAGCACTAAGAATAATTTTCGGAGTTAGCGATGTTTTAAAAATGCAAAGTATTGCCGAAAGTTTTCAGCACCATCGCGTTATTATTAGTGGCAGGGTTTTCTAATTTCATGTAAAGTAGTTTCTCCCTCCAGCTGTACTTTATTAATTACTGTTTTGGGGCGGGGGTGGGGTGGGGGGGAGCGCCCTCCTGCTGGTGAATTCAATGTTTGCTTGTTGTTTTTTTCCCCATTGCTATTAAAATAAAAAAGAGTTCAATTTGTAAATGAGATTAGCATCTTCTAGCAAAGTGACGATGTAAGTGAGAATAATATGCAGTAAAAGCAATCCTTTCTCAGCCCAGTTAATGGTTTTCAATTTTACAGATAATTTAAGTCAATTGTGTGAATCCAGAGGTCCGAGTTTCATCATCCCTTTGTAGCTGGAACTCCAGCTTAGACTCGAGGGAGGCTGAAAGGGCTGTTTCTCACTGACCAGATGTTCTGTTTCTCGTTAAGCCCAATCGTCACAGTGCTGAATCCTACAAGGATAAAGAGGCAAATGACTCACATATAAAAATAGATGTAGTGTTTGGGGATAAGCTGGTCAGAACCATGACAAAATAAGATACTAAATTAGCAGTAGAGTTTTTAAAGGAACTGATAGAAAATAACTCCCCCACCCCAGTGGGGGGAGTGGGGGGGTCTGCTAGAAAGAATAAATCCCAACTCTTTGTTTAATTAGCTTTATGACCAAGAGCCGATCAATGTATATGCATTTTTTTCATCTACTACATTAGCAAGAGGAAACATGCTGTAGCTAACTTGTTATATGTATGTGTGTAGACTTAGGTGTGGAAAACAGTGTAGGTACTGTAAAGATCTTATACATGTGGAAATTTGATTTTGGGTGTTTGTGTCCGACAACTGGTTAGAATCTTGCTTCGCCATGTCCTTGTTGTATGTCCCTGGACAATTTAGTCTGGACATTTGAGCTTCAAGTGTGTCCTTTGCACAGTTGAAACATTAATGGCACCCAGATGTATGTAGTAGCTCCCATCCAAGGAACCCTGGGGTGTAGTGGTCACAAGTTGCGCTGTGATTTGCACTGGGCTTTGGTATAGAAGGTCAGCGGTCCGAAACCACCAGCAGCCCCTCTGGTGAAAGAGGGACTTTCTACTCCTGGGAACTCAGTGGGGTTGCTATGAGTCAGCATGTACTCAATGGCAGTGAGTTGAGCTCCTTGTTGATGGGTAGGTAGTAAGAGGAGTAAAGGGAGGCAGCTGATGAAAACAACCTTGGTGAAGAGTTTGGAACTGGTTGGTGATAACTAGTGTTATAATTATTAAATGAATAATGAATGGAATAATTTCTGGTTTATGGCTTTTCTTTCCCAATTTTTCTTGGCAAGCCATTTGTTTTGAAATCATAAATTGGTTTAAATCAAATTAGACACTAGAACCTCACCTCACATTGTCCTGGCGCCTGTGCCTTGGCACTCCCTCATGCTGAGGGCTTAATATTTGTTTAATAAATTACATAGTAGGGACAGGGCTGGATCCCAGGCAGGCAACTTTGTGAGCAAGATCTGGTCATTGCGCCTATGGATTGTAGAGTCTAAGAGGATTAGACCAGCCTTGCCTAATAGATGTATGATCCAGGTTCTATGGGAACATAGAAGTGTGGCACCAGACCCAGTCTTGGGGTATTTGAGCTGAGCAGGGATGACTGAGTGTAATTCCGATAAGAAAAGGAGTCACAAGACACCATGCCCAAACATTTGTATATATGTTGACATGGATTGGCTGCTCATCCTCTAAGACCTAATGCCAGGGCAGGCTCTTTGTGAGGTGCCTTCCTATTGCTTAAGGCAGAGATAGTGGTGCTACTCTTGGATTCCCACCATGCTTTGTCATCACTTAGAGCACCCCACAGCGCTCTGTGACATGCTGGACCCCTCCAGTTGGTTTCTTCTGTGTCTGAACAAAAGTAGGACCTGTTCACCTTTGTGATCTCCAGTGCCTGTGCGCTCCTTGCCAGATGATAAATGTGCAACCAGTGCTTGTTGGCTCAGCTAGGAAGAAATTACCAATGGATTTGTTTATTAAATACTTATTAAGTGCTTACCATGTGCCGAATATTCTAGGTATGGGGGACTAAGCTGTGAAAGGTAATTTGCCTTCCCTTATCAAGTATGCATCCTAGTGGTGGAGATCATCAGCATATAAACAAATATAGACATAAATAAGGCCAGTTAGTGATATCTGCCCAGAAGCATACAGAAGGACAAACGAATTGAAAAGGATGGAGGCTTCGGTTTTAGATTGGGGGGGGGGGTCAGTACAAGCCTCACCTCACTGAAGAGACAGTGACATCTACATAGAGACCAAATTACTTAAAGGGCCAGGCTGTCTTGTGGAAGAGCAGTCCAAGCAGAGGGGTTAGCCAGTTTGAAGACATGGCCAGTGTGAAGACATGGCTAGAAGACAGGAAGAACATGCCTCGAATGCTTGAGAGACAGCAGAGAAGGGCAGCCTGGCTGGAGCGTGATGAGCAGGAGGAATGTGATGGGAAGTTGACCTGGATGGCAGATGCTCCTGGGTCAGGTCACTCTTGGCCATGGTAAGTTTGAATTTTATTCAGAGTCATGTGGGAAGCTACAGGGAAGAAATGCACCAATCAGGGTGCAGTATAGCACCGATGAAACACA